ACAAAGCAGTCGTAACCCCCTTCCTCCCGCGCATTGCGGTCCTCGGGTCTTCGGATCCGATACGGGTGGTTTTTTTTTCTTTTCTTTTCTTTTCTTCGCGCCATTCGCGGTTTCGTCGCGAGCTACGCATGGTCTAACTACGAACACATTCGATTCCGCACACAGAGAGGGAGGTCCAGAGTAACTTACAAGCAACATGGCCATCGTCCATGTACGGATACTAAACACTCACTGTCGGGCCTGAGTCAGCCGCGCGTGACAACTCGCGACTAATTACTGTGCACGTACTTCGTAGACTTGAATCGTGACATTGGTGGCATCGGGGAGGGGGGGGCGCAGGGCTCAAATGAGCCAAGTCGGAAGTTTATGGCCGCGCCTGATTCACTGATTGACTGACTACCCCATAACTCACTCACCGCACACACATTGGAAGCTTCAACGCAATATCGAAAGAGAGCCTTTTGGGCTATGCGGGACCTTCTTTTGGCTCGAGGCATTGCTCGAGGCATTGATATGCTCTCCTCTTCAGCCCAAGAACTTCCGACGGCCTCTTCAAAGCTCCATCTAACTAGGCATAATGCGCAAGGAACCACCGCAGCATTGCGTATGTCTTGCAAACTACGCCAAGCCGGACGTCAACAGCCACAATACTCGCCCAGATATTCAAAGGGTTTGAGAGACTCTTAGAGAAAAATTGTACGTTTCCGCCTGTTCCACGACACAAAAACAGGACCACCCTTGCGGTCTTTACCTCCCAAATTTTCTCAATGCAACGCTGCGCGAACTCTATCTGTGCTTTAATGACAGTATGACTTGAATGGCTGGCTGCGAAGAAGTTTGATACTCGGCAGTGTGTAATGGCAAGGTATTAGCAACAGACCAGTAACAATCAAATCGAGCCTTGCACCCGTGCACATTTGCAGAACAACCAACTCTTGCCAATCAGCATCATTCATGGCGCAGACCATGGTGTTTGATTTCGATATCCCGTGTTGCTTGGCAGTCTGTCAACCACCCTGGAAGATGGTCCCTCTAAAAATCAAGTTGACTGAGAGGAAATACCCGTTCTCAGATGAACGTCCCATCCGTCCTGCTGCGGTCATTTTCCTCGATTCGGGGGCCGACGGAAGGGGCAGGGGCCGCAGGGCATATGGCCATGAGCGATGGATACTGGGGGCCAATTGGGAGATTACACAGATTAGATTGGAGACTCCATCATCGCTCTTCTCCGTTGCGACCGTTGCCCACTTTCAAAACTTTGTTGAAGAAGCCTCGGGTGGGTTTTAATCGAGGGTTCGTTATTGTCCGTTTCTGGTTGATCTGCCATTCTGCAGCCTGCCGGGTACGGATATCCGTTCAGAGGAGAAAGAAAGAAAATTAAAACGGCGCCCGGCAGTTGATAGACATGGTTGAGCGGCGCCAGTTCCCTCATCTTCAGGTGGACGTTCGTCCGTCGGGACGACGGGGTCCAAGGTTTCTAGAAGGATGGGTCTAGAAAGAGACAACAAGAGAGAACAGACTGCAGACGGGTAATCCAGACATCGTGCGTTCTGGCCCATGCCCACGGCCACTTCTACGCTAAGCTGGTCGTAGTTTCGCAGAACCCCGTGCGGTCCATCCAAGAGCAGACATGAAGAATTCGATGCGAGCTATAAGAACGGTAGTTGCCCGTTGTCGTCTCGGGAACGCGCCCAGATGAAAAAAACCCGCCGGGATGGTAATGAACGTGCTCTCATGGACTCTTGTTGTCTCGCGCACTTTTTCGACTGTTCCTGTGGTACGGACACTGTGGTAGACTGTTACCCCCATTTGCGCTGCACAACATCTGCACAGCAGTCTTAGCCAAACCATCGACAGCACCCCCAGGCTCTCGACATTCGACAAGCCAAGAATTGCAAGCCTTTCTCTCTCATTGGACTCCACTTTACGCCCGTCGGGAACAGGGTCGGTTCAAGGGAGGATTACGTACCGCCGTGGAGACCTTGTCATTCCAATGCCGTGCTTGGTCTTGGATGACGCCGTGGTTCGAGTGACAATGTGCTTGGTGCAAAAACGTACGAATGCTGGAATAACGCTCGTTGCGCTGTCGTATGAGAAAGCACTTTCGACGGTCCCAGAATTCAGAGAGCCTCCTGAGACGCGCTAAACCGTCTCATACAATCGTTCAACTTGCCAAATCAAACCTATATGATAACACATAAGTTATGACCTCCAAACGGGGAAGAAGCCGAACACCTAAATTCTGGGTAATTCATACCTGGGGCGCCAGTAAAAGACTCCATTGTCAGTGAGGCTGTGAAAGAGCAGCTTCCGTCACGCCGAGGGATAGAACGGGGCAAAGGGAAAGGGGCATCAACAGAGACGGGGGTCCAGGTTACCCCAGTGTTTGTTTCGATGGAAACGAAATTCGTCCCATGATCGCCGAGCCTCGCCAAGCTTCCAACACAGAGAGACACGGGCGACAGAACAGGCTTGCGACTTGCCGTGTACTAGGAGAAGAAAACCAGATCAAAGCCCCCTCCCATCTTAACGGCATGTGGGTGCTCGACTTTCGTTGGCCACCCGCTTCTAGAACCCATCACGGAAGAATTTATCGTAGACAGTTCTATAGACGTTGCTCAAAGTTGAGCGAGTATGAAAACTGTCTTCCCCCGGTTGATTCGGCATACGGGAAACAATTGTTCCCCAGTGGCTCTCTCTTTTGAGTCCTTTGCTACCTCGCCAGGCTCACCTTGCTGGATTTGAGGGGAATCCTTGGTTAGGTCGCATGCACAGCAGCCAATATTCATTTCGTGTAGGTGCTGATGCGGGTATGTGCTCTGCCATCGTTTCTCTGCGTTCGGCGTTTGCTGTGCCTTTGCCCTGAAAGCATGCCCTCCCCTCGCCCATAACACCTTTCGATATTATGCGTTTGGAGGATGGAGAGGGGCTAATCCGTCCCGTCCGTCTCGTCCGCACGTTTCGTTTGGTTCTTCGCCCGGGACGCCGGCCATGGTAGCGAAACTTGAAAGTGTAACCGCCCCACGAACTCCTTGAAGGGCCCCCAAGAACTGGAGCCCAGGGCAGGGGTCCAGATGCAGATGCAGGTACCGCGCACTGTATGCCGTATCCGTGCGGCCACAAGAAGAAACAACAACAACATCATATGCGGCTTATGGAAGACTCTATTCAGAAGCGATCGTAGATGAGGAAAAGCGAGCGGTTGCGAGGATTCGTAAACTTTGGTTCCTCCATGATGAATACGAGGTGGGGGATATCTGTGGTACGAGGTGAGGAAAAGCCAGGGAACGCCACGAAGCTTCCCCCAACGGAGCCGCCCAACGGATTGCGAATGATTTGAATACAGGTCAGAAGCAGCGAACAAGTCGGCGCAACCCACGGGGGAGTGAAGAGTACTGGTAAGGTAGGTAGGTAGGCGGCTCGCAGATAGTATGGCGAGACTGGAGGTTTCAATGGTGGTTGCACAGGTTGATTCTGGCGCATGCCTCCTCGATATTTGTGCGTGGACAAACTTTTTGGTCGCATTCTCGAATCGAGTTTTCGCTTGTATTTTTCTTTTCTTAATTTCTTTTCTCGCGTTCTCCAATATGGTTGGCTCGTTGTGCGCCGCCTATCGATGATGGACTTGAAGCCCCAAAGACTTTATGTTAGTGGCTATGACAAGTGTTGACTGTTGAAATGTTGGCGTCGGTGTAGCTGTGGTTGTGGCCGTAGCTGAGCGACGACGACACACAGGAAGTTGAAATAGTGGAGTCGGTAATAGGTACTGGTCTGTGTCGTCGTCCGTTGTCCCATTTTGTTTCTGAATTTTTTTATTCCATTGGGATTCCATTCTCCAAAATGCAGCTGCAAAGCCGTTGACCCTCCTGATGTATCCGTGGGTATCGGTTTGGGGAAGGTGGCCGATCCTTCATGGACCTCTGTCTCTAGCGTCAAGATGCCTCGTCATTGTTGGTATCCGTAGCTTGCGTAGATACATTAGTCTCGTAAGATAGCGTATCCGTACCCGGGAGACATATGGATGTTTGGTCTAGACCTCTCTGGACTCTGGCGTGTCTGGCTGGCAGTTGGTCAAGCGGGTTGCGCCGCGTGCGCCGCCATGATCTCGTGGGCGAAACCAACGGCGCCAATGGAAAGCGCAGAACCGTGGGCGTCGAATTGCTCAGGGACACGGACGTTGTAGCCAAATAAAGACTTTTTTTCTTTTTTTTTGGAAGGGAAAACGAGACACATTCGTGGGACTCGCGCAGGCCATTCCTTTCTTGGACCTCGTGTGTCGTGTCTCGTGTGTCTTGTAGGTATTTTGGACGCGGTGCCTTAGTCAGACTCCTTTGGTCCTCTTGTGCCTCTTTCGTCCCATGCATCATCTCATTTCATCTCATCCCCGACGGATGGTGGGTGTGTGCTTGTTGCTGTCACCTCTGATTTGATCGGCGGGATGTTTCTCGTTTGCTTTTCTTCTGTGTTTCCCTCATGCCACCGATGGGCCTGTGCTTTGGCAAGATTGTTCCGTCTTCTTCGTCTGCCTGCCTGTCGTAACGTCGTTAGCATTTGCCCTTTCATCCAAAGGCAATCGGTAATGTGCAGTCACTGCATTGTGAGGTTCGATTGGACATGAAGGTTGCGCTGAATGTAACGCCGTGTGTTGATTGGCGTACTGTGCGGACCTTGATGTGACAGGCACCAGAGTGCGTGAGAGAGGAACAAGAAAAAAAAGGACAGGACGCCATGGCGATGGGGTGCATGTTGCCTGTCCCCTGTCCCCTGTCCCTGGCCCCATGGTGCCCGTTCCTGGTCGGCCCATCGCTGGTGGAGAGGGGGGGCCACTGCCAACTGGGGGCACTGAGAGGGGGGGGGCCGCTCCCCGTGATAGTGGACAGTGGAACTGCTCACTGCAACTTTGGCGACGTCTGGTTGGCCAATGGGACGCGGTGTCCTCCAGCTAGCAGCCACTCGCCAATATCAAGCGAGATTATCGAAATCTTCCCACCTGCGAGTGACTGCAATCTGCTGCGTGTGTGGTGTGTGGTGTGCCAGTCCAGTCCCGTCCTGCTAGTCCAACTGCAGTGCGTTCTGTCCCAATGTCAGTGTGGTATCCCTTCTCTTCCCAAGCATAGGTACTCCGTAAGCAAGGTGGTTCAAGGGCCCCCCAGGGCAAGAACACGTCGAAGCGCTCAACTTTGTCCGAAGAGGTGTGACTTTCCACTTGACTGGACCTGCGTTGTTTCCCTTTCCATATTGCATGTTATTACACTCCCGGCCTACGATCGATCCATTGCCTATTATTATCATCGTGCCTGCTCACTCCACTCCCTTCCCCCCCCATCCAGGGCGTCTATCTGTCTCTACTCTTCTTCTACTCCTCCCTCCTCCTTCTCCTACTGCTCCTACTCCTCCCGCTTCTCTTCGCCTCTTGCCAACTACACACGCTTACGCCGCCATGCCATCGTCCTGATCCATCGGCCATGAGAACTGGCGGATGCAAGGGAGACAAAGGATCTCGAACACGAACAACGAGAAACGGCTGACACGAACTGTCCACGGTCCCTTCCTATTGTTGGTTTTTAAATCCTTTCCGAGGCACCGCACTTTGCGCACACACGACATCCAGAAAATTCGGAAAGAGTCTAGGGGAAAGAAAACGACCATCTGTTGATTCGGAACGAGGGGAAAATTGCATTCGCGCGGCCCATTGCAAGGACACCACCACCACCACCACCACCACCAACCACCAGACGATAGTACCATTCATCGACACATGGCCATGAGGATGCCAAGAATGGAACTCGAGTAGATCGACAATTCCCATCCAAACACAAACCACACACACACACACACACACACACTCGCTTACTTACCCGGTGATCCAACACCAGTCACTCGTTTACCTTGTTCTATCTTTATTCCCGTTCCCGCCCTTGGGACACGCCGGCTTGCAATTCGCCTCCCCCAGTTTACCAAAAAAGACAACCAACCACACAACGGCCGGGGCAAAAGCTCAGCCTACTTGGCCCAACGCCACCCCGTCGACGCCATGACTAAATCACTGCGCGGGTCTTCACTCCCTCAGGCCCGCTCATACCATCACAATCATTATCATTTACACAACCAACGTGCAGCCACCCCCGAGAATGCTCATCACCACCATCGCCAACTCGACGACACCGACGCCGACCCCAGCCCGACGACTCCCAGCCCCGACGCCGCCACCTCGTCGAGCGCCGCCGCACCGAGAATCGTTGTCCAGACCGTCTCCCTCATTCAAATAGTCGATGCCACCGGCTCCCCTATCCAGGTCCAGACTATCTTCCCGACTGCCGCCACCGTGGATGCTTCATCGACCACCAGTGCCGCCCTTGACTTGTCAATTGCCGCGGTACCATCTTCAACTTCGTCCACCGAAACATCCTCCTCTTCGTCGTCTTCTAGCACGACGAATGACTCAGTGCTGTCGACACCAGCGCCCACGACATCCTCGTCCACCGACTCTTCCACCAGTCAAGATATCTCCTTGACGTCCGATCCTTTATCGACTCCAGCACCTTCGGAAGCTGCGCCGTCACTCTACCCTACGTTGAGTGGCCAGTCAAACTCAACGATTTGTGCGCCGCCTTCCCCTTTATCGTGTGTCCCAGACCGAAGCAGCTGACCCAATGTGTAGCATTCCTTACTTCAACAAACTCTTCTTCATCCTCAGTCTCTACCACAACCAGTTTATCTAGCCAGCTTTCGTCTGGCACAACAAGCGTTACTGATTCAATACTTTCATCCCTCTCATCGACGACATGGGGCTCCAACTCGGGTTCGACTGCAACTTCGACATCGGCATCGACCTCGACTTCGGGTTCTAGCAGATTGAGCACATCTACTTTTACCACGAGCGCCTCGCAATCCCCCTCGAGTGACGCGACAGCTTCCGGAGATGGGACCGCCGGTGGAATCGGCGGCGGCGGCGGCGGCGCGGCAGGGACGGCAGCGCCCACTTCGACCTCCACCTCGGATGATTCTAGCGGCAGTGGCTCGCCAACGCCAACGGCGACCGTCGTCGGAAGCGTCGTTGGAAGCTTGGCTGGAGCGGCTTTCCTTGTGGTGCTCGTATTCCTCGCCCTTCGGTGGAGAAAGCGTTCCGGTGGACGGTTCCGCCTAAGCGAGGCCAGCGCCGGCAAACGAGGCATTCTCACCGGTTCTGGTGGCCCACCCGGTGGCAACAGCGGCGGAATGGTTCAACGGTCGTTATCATTTGATCCCACAACAGCGGCCGCTGGCGCCGGGGCCGGAGCAGGCGCGATGGCTGCGGCTCACAAGCCTTCCTCAAGGAGGGCTAGCGAGCCTTCCGAAACCGGCGAGAGGGGCTTTGTCCGAGTAGCCGGCAGGAAACTGCCTTCTGTTCTACAATCCGGAGGCGACGGTTACACGGACCCACGCGATGGCACCTCAGCCGCCGTGAACGACGACGAATCAGTCTACTTCCGGGACTCCCAAGCCTTTTTCGACCCCAACGGCCAAACAACACGCCTCGCGCTCGGCTCGCCCATGAGGCCAGTAAGCGGTGTTGTGGTCTTCAAAGAGTCGCCGGCCCGAACGCCCGTGACCGAATCGGCGCCGTTTCCGCCTCCGGCAGCTTCGCCGCAGTCAAATCCGCCGTTCGTCCCGTTACAGCCCCCCGGTCGGGACCCAATTGGTCGGACCTTACCTTCGCAGGACGGGTCTCGGGGCTCTCGGGGTTCGGCTTCTAGGTTTCACGAAGACATGTGAATTCACCTCCTTTTGTTCACCCTTTTCTTCCCTTCTTCTTTTTCATTCCCAGCTCGGCCAATGCCGAGCTCAAGGGCAACGCCGGGACACCAACAACGTACCTTGAAGCGTATTGTACATTCTTACCAATCTTTCAAACGATAATTACTAGTACCTATTTGGGGGGTTTGGGTGGTTGGGGGTGGTTTGCAACTTTTTTTGCTTTGTGCCATCTTTGCGGACCCTACGACGGCATATGGATTGGCGTTGAGAGAGTTTCTGGCACATCTGATGTGAGCCCTTTTGCGTTCCGGTCGTGCGGAAGCGGAAGTGAATCCATGGAGAAGGAGGCGGCGATATGGATTCAAAACTTTTATTTTATTTTACAAGCACGCATGTGTACGCCGGCTTCGGACCGCAATAGCATTTGGCATCCGCAGTTAAGGCGAGCGTTCGACTTGCTTGGATGTAGATAAGCCTTTCTTCAGTCTCGCCTCAAGAGACGGGAGAGAGAGAGAGAGAGAGAGAGAGACATAGGTCAGAGACGGACCAAAGGGGATAGAGGGGAAGGGCAACATTAGATTTTTACCTTTTTCCCTGGCCACGGCCATGAAGGGGGAGAGAAAGAAAAGATGAAGTCTATCCGACCTCTTTTGCCCAATGATTCTTTCTGCTCCCTCTATATCTTATCTGCCTTATGCGTACGCGTTTAAACCACATGCGTTAAAAAAGGCGTGTCACCTTTCCGCGTATGGAAGTGCCTTTCCAAGTTCTATGTGACTAGAACTTTATCTCACTCGAGCTTTCTGCCGCTGCGGGATCCACTTGCGATGATGAACATGCCATGTATTTTGTATCCGCATGTGTGCCCGTCCGATCGTCCCCTGAAGAGGATCAAATGTAGCAAGACCGGGGGGGTAAAGGGGACCGGAAGTGCGGCTGTGTTGATGATGGGACGGTCTTGGAAAGAGTTGGGTGAGTATGAGTAAGGTACGTATCCGGAAAGCAAGAAGACCTTTTTTCTTCTTTTCTTTTTCTTTCCCTCCTTGCCTCGGGCTGCCTCCTCGTGTGTCTTAGCGGGGTGCTCGTAAGATTTGCACGAAAACTTGGTAAACGCGGACCCCGAGTTCAAGGAACACGCTTACCGAGAGGCGGAGTTTGAATTTTGGGGGAGAAGAAGAAGAAGACGGGAGTTGTTGCCTTCCATGGTGGAGTCGCATTCTTTTGGTGAACCATCTTGAGACATGTATGAAACGGTGGGAACCAGACAAGAAAATGGTCGTGTCGAGCTTCTTCTTTTTTTCCTTCAGCAATCACCCACCCCAATCCCCCCCCCATCCCAGAATTCTGGGGCCGGTAACCTTGCGTCCCGCTTAGGCCGCGCCTTAACCATGACAAATTCATCTTCATTTGTTCTGGCAGAGAAAGCTACTGGTCTTTCTCTTTGCAGCGTCTTACACGATCCCGATTGGGTAGGCACTTGCAGTGGACTGCTGCTTCCTGTAAGGCGGGTGTCTCATCCATCAGGTGTTTATTCAGTGTTTACCATCTCATCCCATCCTATTCCCCGGTACCGTCATCTACAACACGGGATGAAACATCTTTTTTTGGGCAGTTGGTCTCGATGAAGGAACAGATGGGCGTCGTGTGTGTATGTGAAGCGTCCTCCATATGACTGCACATCCGAGGCCGCTCATGACTACACGAGTTGTTGCAAAGACATCGAGGCTAGCGTCGTAGTGTCGTTGAGCGTCGAGCCTCATCTGCCCATTGTCATCTTGCGATACTTCTCGTATAACATGGTCGTGGCTTCGGCTGCTTCAGTGCTTCATACACGGGGGCAAGTCAGCATACGCCTCCATCAGGCCGGAGCTCCCTGCTCCATACATTAGGAGCCTCGCATAATACCCGAGCTTGGAGTAGGAACCTTGATTCGACAGTTTGAGCCCACATCTCTCCCGGTCTCGAAGTCTCCACTTCTTCGAACCCTGCGGCATCTTCAACCGTCCGAAGGTGTCGAGACCAGTATGAACCACCCACGGCATCGATGGCACCTGCTTTCCGTACACAGGCCCGGGATGGTTATTCGAGAAGGACTCTAGTAATTTTGCGGACCTCGGCGCAACACATTACAGCGGCGGCGTAACTTGAGGCATTGAAGACCGAGGCGCGAGGCGATAGCACGAGATCTTGCTGGGTTGCCGTAGCTATGTCAGTACGATTTTGGTCTTGAGCTTCGGTCTCCAACGACAAAGGCCATGCACCGTATTCGTAGAGCGTTTCCCCATTCTTCCTTGCCTGGGATGGAATATCATGGAGTCATTGAAATTGGATCTCGAGATATCTGTACCGGCTTGCTCGGATCAAACAGCTGAGCCCCCCGCCTCCCGCGCGCGCACTCCACCCGGCCGACTGGATGCAAGCCTCGCCGAGCTGGTTGGACATGCAAAGAGGCCTCACTTTCCGACAGTCAGAGCAGTTGTGAATAAGCTGTTACCATAGCTTCAGACAGGCCCCGATAATGGTAAAGCCATTATCGATTAAGGGGTGGGGGCTCCGTCAATGCCTGCGAGCGGTACCGCAAACGGGAGATAACTCCGTGTCGAGCCCAGGCCGGCACGCCATTTGCGCATGCGAGTGATTCTCCGTGCTCTACGCCGAACGGGAGTTTCCCTCGTTGCGGTTGGCTAGCGTCTGTGACTGCGAAAGAGTAAGAGATAAGAGAGAGAGGGACAGAAGGTTCTGCGCTTGTGCCTGTCACATCAAGCAAACCCTTGTTCCTGGGCTGATTCCGAGCTAGTCTAGCCGTCAAGACTGAAGAGAGCTGTCCGAGCCACGAGGAGACTCATCTTCCCCTCTGAGGATTTAAAGGTTTCTTGGAAGCATGGCCCCCTAGACATTGATGGATACCGAGCTGCCTTCCTGATTGAAGTACAGGGACGAGTAGAGTTCGTGATGCTGTTGGTAAGTATCCGTCCCGTGTCCACCCTTCTTCTTCCCTTTTCTTGCTTCGATGGCGCCTTCTCCTCGGTTGCGGAGGTGAAGTTCGAAGTTGGAGAAGTGGACGTCTTCGGACGCTCGGGACGTGGAGGAGCCCAGCTTGTAAGAGGAGTGAAGACCCAGGGGAGGGAGATTGATTAAGGTATCCGTACATGCACTGCAGATGGCGCCGCACGGGCGGTAGATGGGGCCTGTCAAGCCGATTCAGCCGACGTGATTCGTCGCGAGAGTGTTCCTCGCACATGGTGCCGCGCCAGGGGTCGCAGAGTGACAGAGAGAACGACCGGAGGAGGTCTGCGAATGCTGGGTATTGCCGTGTAGGGGTAGTCGAGAGCTGAGACAAAAGAACAATTCCGATATCAAAAGGGTTAGAAATTTGGGGGGGTTAGGCCGGTAAAGTGGGATGGGAGTGGAGGGTGAGGGACCTACATGACGGTGAAGTGATGAATGGTGGAAGCCAAGACGCGGGAGACGAAGTCCGCTACGGAAGACCAGGCACTCTCCTCACATGGTCAGTGGCGTCCACAGGCTGGAAGTTGGAACCGACGCGGCGGAAAACCTGGAAGTCGGATTCGTGAGGGAGTAGACGCCCATCTTGGCGTCGCGGCTCGTGAGGGACGTGTCTCCTGGCATCCCTCGTACCGCGGGACGGATCTAAGATGCATGATCTTGCGCTGCCTCTTCTCCTGACAGCTGTACCTAGCTTTGCAGCGTCGATCAAAGTGCCGAGTCATGATCCGTGAAGCGTCAGACAGTATGTTCCAGTGGCCAACAGGCATGGTAGACGAGCGAATTGGCGTTGAAGTTGGGATGAGAGGGCCGTTGACTGGTGAGGAGAAGCAACTCTACACCACCACCATTACCGGTGCCTTGTGGTGGTGGTGGTGGCTTTCAAGATGTTCCAATGGCAGATGAGGTAGCCGAAGGCAGCAAACCAAAATAGAAAAGCGACGTTTGGGGGAGTCGAAAAAACGTGGCAGAGTAATAAAGAGGCGCGGGTTATTGCACGAGATGCAGTTGGGTGCGATGTGCCCTCTTTCATTCCTACGAGACACTGCCATATTCGGTTCATGAATAAGGTACGGATACGTAGTGCCCTACACGGTACCTACCTTGGGTATCCGTACCTACATTGATCTGGCGAGGAAAGTAGCTCTCTCTCGCTTCCTGCCATTGTCATCCCTGTACCATTTCATCCTCCGGGCCGGCGGGCAAGAGCAGCAGCGATGGAAAGTTGGGTCTGTCCCTTCCCGAATCACCTCCTCGCCTGCCTCCAATGACCCCTTGGTGATACTGTCCGTATACTACGGTAGGTCTGGTATTCGTCTTTCAAGCACTTGGCGTAAAACACCTACCTATGGTACGTAGAAAGGCACGCCTGGAGAAAAGGTACCCCCCGGCAGGTACCTTAATGGTAAGGTAGGTACGGATGCCGTGGTACCTTACAGCTGGGGGATCTGGGAGAGCACCACGGGCAGCGAAACAAGACCCAGTGGCCCCCCCCCCCTCCCCCTCCTCCTCCTCCTCCCCCCCGGTCAAGCTACGCCCCGCTGACCAATGCCACTGCAAGCACACTGACGGACGAGTCTGCAAGTTTGCAACTCTGTAACGCCGTTTGCCCCCCCTTCCCCAAGCCGTGGAAAAGCCCACCTGGAGATGACGACTTGTGTGATACCAATACTGCCCAGCTCAGCTCTTCCATTCTCTTTTGTTCATCGTCCTTCCGTCCCATCATTTGGCCGTCAATTTCTCTTCTTTCTTTCCCCCTCTTCCCCCTCTTCTAGCTAGCCGTCCTAACCTGCTAGAACTGCCCGCTTCTCAGACGTCGAACGCGATAACCACCCAAGTCCCCCCTCCTACGTCTCAAAGGTACGTTCGCCCCCCCCGGCATGGGGCAAAACTCATTACTCTCTTTCTCCCTCTCAACACAACTCAAACTCATCAACTCGATTAGTCGACCAATCCCACGGTCCACCATCCCGACGAGACTTCGCACGCCACCCCGATTACCTTAACTTAACCGCTTCGCACTCTGCTTCAGCTCGAGCTTCACCTTGACGAGATACTCCACCACTGCGGGTTCCAGGCCAGACCCAAAACGAAGAGCTTCGGGGTCTATCGCCTTGGGAGGTCCGCTACGGAAACAAGTCCACCTCTCGGCGTTAACAAATCGACCAAGCCACCGCAGTACCGAGCGAATAGCAGCAACCACCGCTCTGCCGCTGCGCTAGCCATCTGACGCTACCTGCTTGCAAATACCGTGACAGGCCGATTTGTTTTAGGCCCTTTTCGTCTTTTACTTCATCCTCGAAAACCCCCAACCTAAATCCTTATTCCACTCCCGTCTGTCTTTCAGACACCCTCCTAGTCCCATTGCGCCAGCGTCGCTCCATAAGCACTCTGATCACCTCGCCGACGACAATCCGCGCACTTCCCGCGCTCACCGGCATTCTCTCACACTCGCAGTAAACCACACCCACCCCGGACCTCGTGTCCCGACGACAACCCCGCGAGTGCCCGGCTTCGGTGTACACCGAATCAATTCGTCCAAAATGGACCACATGGGCTTCCAGATGCCTCACATGGGGGGGCCGCCCCAGATGATGAACCAGCCGCCGCAGATCTTTGGCGCTTACACTCCCGACGGCCTTCCCGTCACGCATATGCCCCCCGACCTGGCGGCGCATATGTTCGGGGACCCATCCACCCTCCTCGACGATGCAAATGAGGCAAAGAGGAGAAGGATCGCGAGGGTAAGTATCTAGACTGGCGCGAGTATCGCCGACTCTGCCGTGATGAAGAGTAGAACGCTTACGCCGATCATCTGCGCCCACAGGCTTGTGACATGTGTAGGAAGAAGAAAATCAAGTGCGACGGCAAGATGCCCGCTTGCAGCCATTGCATAAATTACAAGACGGATTGCGTATTCACCCAGGTCGAAAAGAAGCGCAACCCGCCAAAAGGGTACGCCGATAGGTGTTCAAACTGTCCTTTCCGCGATATCCGACTAACGAGTTGGCCAGGGCAAAGTACATTGAAGGACTCGAGAACCGCCTGGGTCGCATGGAGAATCTATTGAGACTTTCAGGTTGGTAATGCATAATATGATATGTGACTCCACGCGATTCTAATCAATTGCGTAGGCCTTCTTGGCGAAGACGACGACGGTGACACGGATCTGGGCACACTCGAAAAGCGATTAGCAGAGAAGCAACAGCAGTCGAGACAGGCATCCCAAGCTGCGTCTAACCCGACGTCCCCGTCCCAGGCAACTTCGGGGCAGAACGAGACCATGTCAACGCCACATAGCGCCATCACGTCCCCCGAGCCTACCAAAGAATCGCACAGAGATCCCAAGGAAGCAGACAAGCGCCGGGCCTCCGTATCCGAAGAGAAGGGCAACGAGGAGGAGGTTGAGGCGCTTTCTGAGCTCATGTGCTCCCTGGTCACGAACCAAAGTGGCGAGACGCGATACATCGGTTCCTCGTCAGGCTTCTCCATCTTTTCCCCCAAGGGTATTCAGTGGGTGAACGAGAAGACGGGAGACAACTCGTTCCAGGCAATGATTTCCGAAGTCTCTATCGACGACCATAAGTGGACTGCCTGGAAACCCGAGGTTTTCAGCGATCTGTTCCGCCGCCCAGTCTTCCGGCCACTGCCCCCCAAGACGGAGGCGTTGTCTCTGCTGAAAGACTTCTTTGAGAACTTCAACTGCATGTTCCCACTGTTCCATCAACCTACGTTCATGCATCTGGTCGAACGACAATATTCCGACGATCCGTACGAGGGCACCGGCTGGTGGGCGAGTTTGAACTGTGCTTTGGCTTTTGCCCATCGTCTGCGTGTCATGAGCAATCTTGTACCACAGGAGGAGGATGACAAGGCTTGGGGTTACATGAAGAACGCTTTGGGAACTTTTGCCGAATTATCGATGCGCAACACAGACTTGCTGAGTGTGCAGGCCTTGCTCGGAATGGCCCTCTTCATGCAAGGAACTCCCAACCCTCAGCCGACATTCCTTTTGGTCGCCACGTCTATTCGTCTCGCACACAGCATTGGCCTTCACAAGAGAGGAACTGGCTTTAACCTCAACCCCATTGAGATTGAACAGCGAAAGCGAGTGTTCTGGATCGCCTACATGTTGGACAAGGATCTTTGCCTCCGAGCGGGCCGCCCGCCAGCTCAGGACGATGACGATATGAACGTTGAGCTACCCGATGCTGATCCGGAAGACAATATTGGTAACATTCCTCTGGCTGACGGCAAGGGAAAGATGAACCTCTTCCGAGTGATGTGCGAGTTTGCGACAATCGAAAGCAAGGTCTACTCTCGGCTGTACTCGACCAAGGCTACAAAGCAATCGAGTGGAGAGCTTCTCAATACCATTGGAGAGCTCGATCAGGAACTCGAGGAATGGAAGGATAGGATCCCGATCGATTTCAGACCAGAGCACGAGATCAAGGCGTCGCATACGCCTCTCATTCTCCACGTTGCCATGCTTCACTTAACTTACTACAACTGCTTGACGACGATTCACCGCATGTCAGTTCACCACGGATACTGGACAAGTCGCCTGTCCAACTATGCCATTCAGGGGCTCAACGCCAAACCCTTGAACCCCCGCGTCTTCTCTTCTGCGGCGCTCTGTACCGCCGCCGCCCGAGCATCGATCTCGCTTCTCAAGTACATGCCGCAGGGTGATTCCCCAAGTGTCTGGTACGTAGACTCAAGACGCTGAATGCTGTGCTTATGATAACTAACCTCGCCTCATAGGCTCATTCTGTACTTCCCGGTATCGGCGCTGATGACGCTATTCGGAAACATTTTGCAGAATCCAATGGATCCAAGAGCCAAATCCGACACCAAGTTGATGAACCTTGTGGTCAACTTCTTGTCAATGCTGGGCCAAGAAGCAGAGACTGGAGGTGTGCACCGTATGCTCGGTGTGTGCTCAGAGTTTGAGAGGATAGCCAAGCTCGTCATCGAAAAGGGGGAGAAGGAGCAGTCTTCGCGTAGGAAACGAAAGAGCGACGCCGCTGTCAAGACTTCGTCAAGCCCCGCCGCATCAACACACACACCCAGGCCCGTCTCCGTCACTACCCCGACTCCCCAATCCATGAACGGTGCAGCTACATCATCGACGACAAACGGCCAATTGTCGCCCGACTTCAATGGCGAAGCGAACCGGAGAAGGCACGGATTCAGTCCCATGACGACCACATCAATGCGAGAACCATCACCAGCACTTCCGTCTGCTGGTTGGCCTCAGGAGTTTAGCATACCAGAACAACCAAACTTCAACAACTTTGGCGAAATGACAGGGTTCGCAGGGCCGAACAGTGCTCGTTCGCCGCCGGTAAACATGGGCGGACCGTTCCAGCAACCTCTTCTACCGCAAGATCTGTTCGCACTCCCCATGACACTAGATTGGGACTGGGCAGAGATGAGCGGCGGTGCGTACCCAACGGTGGAAAACGGCAACGTGGGTTAAACCCTCTTAGTAAGTCCGCAGCGCCGGAATATCTGATTGGACGGGCAACCGCGTCAAAAAGGTGGTCACTGGACAGAACATTATAGGTTGCATAATGTGCATATATGAGACGACATCACGAACCATTTAACGCATGTACGAGTAATTAGCCTGCTGAACGGAGCTATGGCTGGTGAGAATTGTAGGGAGAATTTAGCATAGTACGTTGTACCCTGCCATAGAGTGGCGGAATTGACCTGTACATGACGCTGTTCCAGTAACTGCCACCTACCTTACCTTACAATGGAAAAGCCCTTTGATATAATGTGCACATTTGAATAACAGGAATACTGCGGAGTAAAGAATGACTAAATGATACAGCGCCCAAGGCTCTGGACATGACTAAATGATACACGTACGTCGTCGGGAGCCTGGAGAATTGAGCGAGCGGGACCACTCTAGACCCTGTTCGTCAACGCGTGGTATAAATGGGATTCAAGGTGTCATTCATTATTATCGGAGTTTGCGGGCGGAAAGGTCCTTCTTAGCCGAGGACGGGGGGGAGCGCTGGAGGCGGCAGGGTGGGCCCGGGGGGGGGGGGGGGGGGGGGTTCTGCTCTCTGGCTGCGGACGGAGTTTGAGAGTCACGTGCACCGCTAAAATCTCGGCCTTGATGGGGCGCCGACATGAACTCATCACTCAGACTATGGGAGCTTTTGCCATCGTACAGTCATTCCAGGAACGCCTGGTCCAATTACCAACCACACCTTGTACGATTTTCTCCCACCACCACCACCGCTGCAAATAAGTGCGGCTGGTGCTCTACATTACCATCAGAAACCCATTGACTACTTTCCCTCTTCCCCCGACCTACCATTGTACGAACGACCACTGGGGCGCATCAATGAGATAGCACATTGCTGCACGCGGTTTATACTCCTCCACCCGACTCCGGTCGTCCCGCCTCGTCACCCCGCGACATACAGACACACATACCACCATGGCGAGGTTTCTCCGCCAGTCCGCGCAGCTCGCACGAGCTGTAAGGATTGCCCAGCAGCCGGTAACACGTATGCGCTTCCAGCCGTCTAGGATAGCAGCACGACTCGGGCCGCAAGCTCCGCTAGCTTGCTATCGATCACGGTTTTACTCGACAAACGGCCCCGAGCCCCCGAAGAACGAGAAGGAATCTGAAAAGAAGGAACCTGAAAAGAAGGAAGGTGCCCCTCAGGAGAAGTTGTCCAAAGAGGAGCAAATACGGAAAGAATGGCCTCTACCCGAAGGATGGGTGTACCTCAATGAGGAGGAGCTCGACACGTTGCTCAAGATGGGACAAAACGACAGACTGCCTCGGTTCCAGAAGGACTTCTTCATCAAGAGTGTGGAGGAAATGAAGTTGTTGGGAGCTCCCAAGGAGCTGAGGGATCTTCTGTTGACGCTGAAGGAGCGCAGGCTGAAGATGACCGTCACCGACATCGCCAAGGTCCTCCGTGTCTCGACGCAGGTCGCAAAGAGGTTCTCCGAATACGAGCAGACGGTGCTTATGCGCGAAGAGCAAAATCCGACAAAGGAGAAGGAGGATGGCTCAAAGAACTCGCAGGAGGGTGAGCAGGGCAAGCAGCAGAAGGAAGGGCGCAACTCAGAGAACAACGACGGCGCACCGGGCGGTGGCTTGGGCGGCAAGAGATGGATCTTTGGCATGCTCAGCACCGGTGACCTGATTGTTGCCGCCATCGTCTGGATCGTCATTCTGCCCTTCTTCGAGTCTATGATCTTCGGCCAGGAGAAGGAGATCACATGGCAAGAGCTGCGGAAGAACTTCCTGGACAAGGGCTTGGTCAACAAGCTTGTGGTGATCAAGAATCCCGGCCGCGTGCGCGTTGAGCTGAACAGAGATGGAGTGCAGTCGGTGTACGGCGGAAACGAGGGTGTCAACCCCAACATGCAGTACTACTTCTCCATCGGTTCAGTAGAGATGTTCGAGAAGCAACTCGAGGACGCCCAGAACGAACTCGGCATCCCGACCTCGGAGCGCATCCCCGTCAGCTACGCCAGCGAAGGTGGCATCATGCCCTTGGTCTACGCCTTCGGCCCCACACTGCTGCTGGTCGGTCTGCTCTACTACACCACCAAGTCGATGGGTGGACGCGGCGGCAATCAAATGTTCGGATTCGGTAAGAGCAAGGCCAAGAAGTTCAACCACGAGACAGCAATCAAGGTCAAGTTCAGCGACGTTGCCGGCATGGATGAGGCAAAGACAGAGATTATGGAGTTCGTCAGCTTCCTGAAGACCCCTGAGCGCTTCGAGAGGTTAGGCGCAAAGATTCCTCGTGGTGCCATCCTCGCCGGACCTCCTGGAACCGGTAAGACGTTGCTTGCCAAGGCCACCGCTGGCGAGTCTGGTGTGCCCTTCTTCAGCGTCAGTGGTTCCGAGTTCGTCGAGATGTTTGTCGGTGTTGGTCCTTCAAGAGTGCGAGACTTGTTTGCAAACGCCCGCAAGAGTGCCCCCTGTATCATCTTCATTGATGAAATCGACGCCATTGGTCGATCAAGACAGGAAGGAAACCGCATGGGCGGCAATGATGAGCGCGAAGCAACTCTGAACCAGATCTTGACAGAGATGGACGGTTTCAATACCCAAGAGCAGGTCGTTGTCCTCGCGGGCACCAACAGAGCCGATATTCTTGACAAGGCGCTGATGCGTCCCGGTCGTTTCGACAGGCACATCTTTATTGACCGCCCGACCATGAAGGGTCGCCAGGAGATCTTTAAGGTGCACCTGGCCAAGATTGTTACCAAGGAAGATATGGACCACCTCATGGGCCGTTTGGCGACTCTGACTCCGGGCTTCTCCGGTGCCGACATTGCCAACGCCGTCAACGAGGCTGCCCTGGTTGGTAAGTTTGATACGACGCCTAGCCTTTGAATCTAACACGATGCTAACTTTGCTATAGCCGCCCGTGCCAATGCCGAAACAGTGGAGATGATTCACTTCGAGCAGGCCATTGAGCGTGTCATCGGAGGTCTCGAGCGCAAGTCTCTCGTGCTCAACCCCGAGGAGAAGAAGACGGTGGCCTACCATGAGGCCGGCCACGCCATCTGCGGCTGGTACCTCAAGAACGCCGACCCCCTTCTTAAGGTTTCCATCATCCCCCGTGGCCAGGGTGCATTGGGTTACGCCCAGTACCTCCCCCAGGGAGATGCCTATCTCATGACCGTCCAGCAGCTGATGGACCGCATGGCCATGACGCTCGGCGGACGTATCTCGGAGGAGCTTCACTTCCCGACCGTCACGACGGGCGCCAGCGACGACTTCCGCAAGGTCACGCACATGGCCCGCAAGATGGTGACGCAGTGGGGCATGTCGGAGAAGGTCGGCCCCCTGCACTTTGACGACGACCCGAACACGCTGCAGAAGCCGTTTGCCGAGGCCACAGCCCAGGCCATTGACTCCGAGGTGCACCGCATCGTGGAGGAGGCCTACAAGCAGTGCCGCGACCTGCTGACGGAGAAGAAGAAGGAGGTCGGCATCGTCGCCGAGGAGCTCCTCAAGAAGGAGATGCTGACACGCGACGACCTCGTGCGCCTGCTCGGTCCCCGGCCATTTGGCGATAACCAGGAGTTTGAAAAGTACTTTGGCGGACAGGGGCAGAAGAGCGCGCCGCCGCCGTTCCCTACGGAGGAGGTCGATAGCCCTCCTGAGCAGCCGCCCGTCGGCCCGTCGCCGACTTTCAAGAGCCTTGAGGACGCGCCGAGGAGGTGAGGTTTGATGTTATAGTAGTTGTCGTAGAAGAAGGAGGAGGATAGTGGCACGCGGACTCCAACATGCCGCAAATTGTATTTTTTTTTTTCCATCCCCCCGGTTTTCCCCCAAAAAAGAACTAGGCTCTCTATCTCTCTCAACTCTTGCCCTTTATGGCGGATATGTTACTAGTAGAAGGCATATCATCATCATCATCATCATCATCATTTGGGGCTTTTTTCTGGAGTAAAGATGGAGGGAACACAACTTTCTTCGTGTTGTTGTACTTGTAGGAAATTATGTAGATACATCTCTACCTATTTTTATTGCTTCAATCTCTGATGAGGAGAACACGATGAACGTGATTGAATGAACATGGGGGCTTTGTAGAGGGAGGTGTGAAATGAGATAGGTGCGGTGGCTGTCTGCTGCCGACCTTCATGATATTGTCTGAGTTGTAAGGTGTGTGTGTATGTGTGATGTCTGGTGGCCGGCCTGGTTAGCAGACATTTAGAGGGGGTTTGATGTTGTGAAATGGGTGGCGGGTGGTGCTACTTGCTGGTTCAGTCCTGGATGATCCCAAGGGACAAGGACAGCATCTCATGGGATAGAGGGGAACGAGGTGACTAACGCTCGTACCATTTTCAAACTTTTGTCCCCTGTGATCTATACATTGCTTCATAATGTAAGACTTGCAAGAAAATAACTTGACATTCTCCAGCCATCGTACCAAATGGAATCCTTTAGTTGTTTGTATCCCGCCTGGCCGTTCTTGGTTGAGGAATCAACAGCCGTTATGTGGAGGGGGTTCACACAACATGCTCTCTTGGTAGATTATTAAAGGGGATATGCGGGTAGGTAGATTAAGCTGGGAGAGGGACAACGGATTACCTTGGTGCTAAGAGAAAGGGGGGGGGGGGGGGGGGGGGGAGAAGAAACACTTTGCAACAAATCACTTGCATCACCATGGCCCCAAACTGCCTGCAACTGAACTTTGGTGGTCTAAACCAACGAACCCAGACACATGGGTGGGATAATCTATACGTATTCATGTGTAAACAGCCAAGTACCAGTGAGAGGCGCTCCTCCCCGTTGAACGACATCAACGGTAGGCTGACTAGGAGACCCCTCACGTCGTCACCGATAAACATACTGTATGAAGCCGGCAATGCCAATGAAACAGGTGGTTCCAGGTGCCTGTATTTATTCTCCGATAAAGCAAAGCCGTCGCATATCGCAAAAGAAGGGGCACTCTTGGCCGGATGTGTGCCGTGCTCTTCGAGATGCGGACTGGGTCTCTTTCGGACATATCCCGTCAGGCTTGTCAGAGTTGCCACTGGTACGGTTTCTAGACTGACCCAACCAAGCTTCACCGTACTTGGACTCTAACACGTATCTAGGTACTCTCAACAGACTCTGACTTGACTGCCCGCGCAATTAATGCAATCTCGAGTGATCCTTCTTCTCCCCGGGACTGCAGGGGACCAGATGGACCGATATATCCAGCGAGAATTGGCATTACGCCGAGGCGAAACGATTGGGCACCACGCATACAAGCACGCAGACACCAAGGGAGGAAGAGAGCAGCGCGTGGCAGAGGGCGGCACTAGAATAGGGCGGTCCCGATCTTGTGGGCAGAATCGCAAGATGGACGTGTGCCCGTCTGGCCGTGTGACTTCCCACCGGGTTCGCCTGGCATGTACCGGCGCCGAGGATAAGTGTCGTGTGAAGAAAAGAACGTTGCCGATCGTCTATGCAGTTTTGCCGAAGGATCTTCACGCAAGCACCGGCCTCTTGGTACACCTCTTTGGTGGAAAAGTTCAGTTGGAGCGAAGCAAACTTGTTGTTCTTTGCTAACCTCGGGGTAAGGTACCTAACCTAAACTGTACAAGAGTCTGTGGCGGACCAGGAGCACGAGGGCACGAACTAATTGTGCTGACTGCTGGACAGGTCTAGTAGACGTCATTGGTGTTTCTTCAGCAAGACGAGCTACCTACCCTTTCAGTAAAACTACAACAGCGCGCGCAGCGGTGATTCCTCATACGAGAGAGAGAGAGAGAGACGAAAGCAACCAAAAGAGGGTATCGAATATATCATTCATTCTGCCCAAGCAGAATTTCAATTTCTCCAGCAGAGCCAATCAAGGGCATTCATTTCATTTGCTTTGGGTTTCCAAGACTTGGGGTGCCGGGGGGGATGGTGGGAGCGGAGACAGTGGAAATACCTGGATATCGCAACTTCAGGTGGTAAGGTACCTGTCGGAGGCGGCTATATGCACGTGGCGAGACCTGCTTCGGCGTCGGCTTTGCAATATGTTGTGATGGGTTCGCTGACTCGGCGAGGGCGGTGACGGTAAGGAGCGGGAGGCGACCGACGGCGGCGGGGTGAAGGGTGATGTGGGATACCTGTGACCTTGCCTTACCTTAGGTATGTGGTATGTATTGGATGTGGTGTGGTGTGGTGTGGTGTAGGAACTTCCGTCATGGCCATGTTTTCCGTCACCTCTCTTCCGGTGAGTCTATTGCGACAACTCAATCATGATGATGCCAAACTCTTTCTCTCAGGAAATCACTCACATACCTCGTCACTCAACAGGCACCACAACGATATTGCTGTTGAATCCCTATCGAAGAACGCTCCCTGTTCAAAGATCCAGCGGGGTGGGGCCGTGTCTTCTTCGAAATTGTCTCGCCGACCAATCTAGATTCAGCGTTTCCGTCAGGACGCAGGAAATCAATCATCCTTTTGATCACCCCCCCTTGTCTCTTTGCGTATTTTTCTTCCTCTTCTGCCAGAAAGCCAAGGGTCTGTGGTAACATTTCGCGGCCTTTTCTTTTTTCGATATCCACCCAATTCCAACTTCAACCTGCGACCCGTATTCTCTGCCGATTCTCTGGACTGGTCAAGCTTTAGACTCCGCGAATCTCCACTCCGTCATTGGGAGAGAGAGAGAGAGAGAGAGAGAGAGAGAGAGAGAGGACCACTCCCCGGCTTGGCCTGGGTCTTGACAACTTGGAGGCGAAGAAACCTTGCCTCGGCCGGTTCGCTCTAGTCTTACCTCTGTCCGGATACAACATCTTAAATACAACCCGCCAACCCGCCCTCTCGGGCGCAAAGGCGCTGACTGGACATCACGAGCCCATCAAGAAACGCAGGTTACTATCGCCCGACACTCAGTATACGAAGAGTCTCAAACGGTTCGGCGGAGTTGAAATAGAGCTTCAAGAGCGATTTTGAAGGGCTCTTTCATTCTTGCCGACATGATTGCGCATCGGTCTCGAATCGCGTTTGGTTGAACTCGTTGGCCTTGTTTCTACATCTTTTGGTTTTGCTCTGGTTTAATTGCAGCATTCTGTTTAGCAGAGACCGTCATTCCTTGTCCGCAAAGCATACTACCTTGGTTGGCGGTTTCGCTGTGCCGCATCGCCACGCCGAAACCCATCTACTACAAGTAAACGTACACTCGATCAACTCGACGACAACGGTAACGACAACGACAACGACAACGACGGCCATGGTATCCAACATGGACGAAAAAGCGGTCCTGCCGGGTCGGCGCTCCTCGCCCGGCCGGGACGCTACCCGGAACGACAGCTCCGGCTCTGGCGACCGCGCATCGCGCAGGCCCGGCGGCTGGTGGAAAGTACACCTTTTCCGCGGTATGGTCAACGACATTCGTCGCAGGGCGCCCTTTTACGTCAGTGACTGGACCGATGCCTGGGACTATCGTGTGGTCCCGGCCACGGTCTACATGTATTTTGCAAAGTATGTATTACTGTCATCATCTGTGGTTTGATCTTTCTACCCTCTCTCGAAGCGTTACATCGCACCCATTTTTCCTGTAAGCCAGTCGTGTGGCAGGATGGAAGATAGAGAAGATTGTGTTTCTCATTTTTATTCGCCATGTTGCCGTCCATGGCCCCCTCTGTTGCTGTTCAAGTTACCACTGATGCTAGGCTTCCGACACTCAGCTAACCTGTATTGCAGTATCTTGCCCGCTTTGGCATTCTCCCTCGACATGTTTACTAGCACGGGGTCAACATACGGAGTCAACGAGGTCCTTCTAGCTTCCGTGTTGGGGGCAGTAGTATTCTCTCTACTAGCTTGCCAGCCTCTGGTCATTGTCGGCGTCACAGGCCCCATCACAGTCTTCAACTACACCGTGTACGATATCATGGAGCCAACAGGCACCAACTACCTAGCATTCATGTGCTGGATCGGCCTGTAAGTCTTGCCAGACCCTCACCCTCCACCTCCCATCCCATCACATACTTACAAACGGTTCAACGGCAGGTGGTCACTAGTCTTCCACTGGATTCTCGCCGTCACAAACTCTTGCAACTGGCTCCGCTACGTCACGCGCTTCCCCTGCGACATCTTTGGCTTCTACGTGGCCTTCATCTACCTCCAAAAGGGCATCCAGGTCCTCCAGAGGCTGGGCGACGCCGAGCCCTTTTACCTCTCCATCGTCGCCGCCTTACTCGTCTTCATGGTCGCCTACATCTGCGCGGGCGTCGGCGGGAGCGGCTTGTTCCATCACCACGTGCGCGTGTTCCTCAAGGATTACGGCACCCCGCTCACCCTCATCTTCTTCACTGGTTTCGTGCACATTGGCAGGATGAAGCCCGTTGATTTGGAGGTGCTGCCCACGGGTATCGCTTTTATGCCCACGGCGGACAGGAGCTGGCTTGTGGATTTTTGGAACATTCCTGTCGGAGATGTCTTCCTGGCCATCCCCTTTGCTATCCTCTTGACCATTTTGTTCTGGTTCGATCACAATGGTAAGCAGCATACACTCGGCTCTCCCTATCCGAGGCTACCACCAAAGACTAACACGAACGTGCACAGTGTCTTCTCTCATCGCACAGGGAACCGAGTTCCCACTCAAGAAGCCGGCAGGTTTTCACTGGGACCTCTTCTTGCTCGGCCTGACCACGGGAGTAGCCGGCATCCTCGGTCTGCCGTTCCCCAACGGCCTCATCCCGCAAGCTCCATTCCATACCGACTCCTTAACAGTTAGCAAATCAGAACCCGAGACGGACGAAAAGGGCGAGTTCAAGGGCAGCTACGTGGTCAAAGCATCTCACGTAGTAGAGCAACGTGTCTCCAACCTGGCCCAAGGCCTCCTGACCCTCGGCACAATGACGGGCCCCCTCCTCGTCGTCCTCCACCTCATCCCGCACGGCGTTTTAGCCGGCCTCTTCTTCGTCATGGGCGTGCAGGCCCTCGAAGGGAACGGCATCACCCTCAAGATCCTCTTCCTCCTGCGCGACAAGAACCTGACGCCGCCGAACCACCCGCTCAAACAGATCCGTCGCCGCCGCGCCATTTGGGAATTCGTCGCCATCGAGCTCGTCGGGTTCGGCGCCACGTTCGCCATCACGCAGACTGTCGCCGCCGTGGGCTTCCCCGTCTTCATCATGCTCCTCATCCCCATCCGCGCCTGGCTTCTTCCGCGCTGGTTCTCGCCCGAGGAGCTGGGCGCGCTCGACGAGGCGACGGCGTCGCCTTTTACCATGGAGGGTATCGGCGGGGTTCACGGGGGCGGCGATTCGGGCGATGACTCGGACGGGACGCGGGTGTCTGATTATGAGAATGATGGGGATAGACGTACTAGTAGGCAGGCGGCGGGGCATGGTGATGGCATCTTTGCGTCGGCGGAAGCGCCGGGGAGGAGTCAAGAAGATGTGGCGGAGCTGGGGCAGTCTCAGAGCGTGCAGAGTGCAGGAAAACCGACGAAGAGAGGAGGACACACTGCCACAGCTGATTGATGGCCAGTAACGATTTGATCAAGAAATGGAGTTTATAGAGAACGAACGTAATGCTTGATAGTTAATACCCAGAAACATTCGAAGATGGGTGCTCATCCAACGTTGGTCGATGTATCAACGCACCTTCACATCGGTTCTACTCAGCTCACTGACCGAGAGTTTTCCAGCGAGATGCCAAGATTTTGACGAAGAAGGGACACAGCGTCTCCTCACACAACTACCACTCTAAGGTCAAAACGAAATACTGATTGGACAGCTTTACACGCTGGTAGTGGGATTGACACATCGATACTAGGTAGTAGGAGCGGTCAGCGTTGCTCGGCCCAGCACGCCCCGCAAGCCCGTTTGGGCAATCGGGGCCTTTGTGATTGGCCTCTCTGGCGAGAAGTCGATGGTAGATTGTCTGTCGTCGCCCAGGAAGCCAGTGATGATACTGCCGATGGAGGAAGTTGCCTGATGACCAGGTGTAACTTGTCGGAAATCTTTACGTCGCATGGTTCCCTGACTCCAGGTTATTTGGTGGAATAGAAGAAGAGACTACTGTGTTGTTGAGAGGAACGGAGACGGGACGTTGGAATTAAGGATGCGGCGGTGGTCAGTGCGCCTCACACCACACTTCTCTTCTACAACCCCACGATCCCTCACCCTTTGTCCTCTTCACTTGTCATCCCACATCATCTTCCGCCTAGTGTCGAGCTCAACGACAACCAGCTCAGCCGCCGCCTAGCTTTCAGTTACAGTCTAGACTCCATGGCTTTCGATGACTACCCACTGGACCGCCCGCCTTACTACATAAGCTCCTTTGGTTTGACATCCTCACGGGATAAAGCATGCCTGGCCCTGATCCAACGTTACTGTTCCATCCTGGCTGAGACCGGATCCATTCAGGGCTCACTTCTCGGAGAAGGATCCCCAGAAGCCGGGGGTTTCGTTCCATCGGCACATGGGAAATCAGACTCGTGTCGTGGCCGTTAGCCCACTAGCCCATCCTCCCCGCCACGGAGAGCTTGTAATATCGGACAGCCTCCGCCATTGGCTCGCCCTGGACTCGAACCCATCGACGGCATGAACCCGGGGGGTCACGCCAACACTCCCGTCAAGTTCTCTCGGCAACGTCCTCCGCGATAGGCCGTCTCCTGCAGGACAACCTGGTAAGGTATGAAGAACTTCCGTCGCCCAACCACGACACCCAGTCATCACATCTCCCCAAGGTCAACGACAGGGCCCGGCCCCGAAAATAAGCAGTCAGTCACTACGCTTCGCTCCTGGCTTGAACCCCGCATCGTACCGAACAATGAGGTCCCTCATAGCGGCGAGAGCCATGGTGTGGTTGGGTGCTCGCGGAGCCCTCTGTCCTCCACCTATCATGCCACAGCGGCCGGTGCTCTGTCGTCGGCCGTCTGCCTCCGGATACACGCATCGAGCCAAGCGTCCTCTCACGAAAAACGAAGACCAGCTGTCGCCCGATCTGACGCCTTGGGAACTAATCGCCTTGGCCCAGCCTGGATGAATACACGCCCCATACCTCGAATGCGTCGAAGCTGCTGGCCTGGACAATCGCGGCCTCTTGCATGTCTTGCGCACCACTACCTTCGTATCACTTCGGCAAAAGGTTGACTTTTACTTCGCCCCATGTAGCCGATTATACCCACGCGTAAGTAAGCATCTACTGCAGTCCCTCCGTCGATCTGACAACCCTCACGACGTACAGCCCGCCAGTCCTCTCCACAAGTATGGAAAATCCGGGGGTCACAGTGTACCATCCCACCCAGACCTCGTTCCCATGGGGTAGCACAAGGTTAATACTCTATTCCTCGGGTAGCTGGAGCTTAACGTTGATACCACGTTCCAGTAATTTATCCAGCTCTCGGGGGGGTTGGGGCAGTGGCCGGCCGCCTGCCTGCCGTCCAAGCGGGCAATGTCTGTGTCATCTGTTACCGGTAGGAGTTGACATTTCGCACCGGGCGATTCTGTCGAAGGCTCGAAGCAATTGGCATGTACAGGGTGCGGAACCAGGTGCAACATTGCAAGGCAACAGCCGAGACAAGAATCCAGGAAAGGCCTTCCTTTTTTGTTTCATGGTTTCTTCTTTCTTTTTCCACCCTCGCAAATCCTGCTTTGGTACCGGATCATGTATCCTTGCTATCAGATAAGCTACCGTAGCAAGTGGCTGCCGCAGAATGTCTCTTTTCTTGTCGCCTCCATCGCACAGAGTAGATACTCAGAGGCCTGACGTCGACGACATCCTCAGAGAGAGGCCTGCGGCCCAACGTCGAAACCACATGTCTCTCTTGTACTCCACAGAGGTTTCGCCCCAGCACGCAAGTGGTGCAGCGTCGGTAGGACAGGACAGAGGGGCTCATATCTTCATCGCTTGGAACTACGCGATTCCAAAATGCCGCTTGTATATCGTAGCAGATCCGATGCTTGCGGTACGATTGAGAGGAGCGCGGATCTGTGCCACGCCGCAGCATGCCTTTGGGTAGTACCTGGAGAGAGACAGGTAGCTGCTGGTACCTTGAGCAGGCTCACTGTGTGGATGTTTAGCGGCTAATGGACTCACCACAATGATACACGGCATTCTGAGGAGAAGCGACGATAGGCTGATGGCTGTATCCTTGGATCCGAGACAGCCACGGCAGGGGCTAGGAAGGGAGGCGGACACAATAACAGCGTGTTCAGAAAAACAAACCAAGAAAGGAAGAAGACTGTGTAAGTAGAGGGTACATCTCCATCCTCCCTTGTTGCTACATCTCCCGGTTGCGATGTAGCGCCTTGGAACAGAGAGAAGACGAATAACACCAGCATCACCCCCCGTCCCCCATCTCCCGTCACTGATATCCCCGCCATTCCGGGCGGAAGGCATGGCTTCGCGGGAAATGGGAAATGGAGGGGGTGTGTAATCGTCCAAAAAGGAACACACACATCGGCTTGAGTCCCTTGAAGCTTAAGCTTAATCGAGTCGACTCCGACGAAGCCGATCTCGACCGCTCGAGTAGTGAATGGAGGGGGTGCGTGGGGGATAATTGGGAGCATAATGGACTTGTTCTGGGTACGTAAAGCCAGGTGAACTTGGCAAGAAAGCTAACTAGCGTCGGGTCTTTGGTACGGCTTCAATCGTCATCTTTTGCCTGTTTAGTTGGAGGGAGCATGTGCATACTGCGTAGCATTACCCATCCCTCTCCCGTTCTCACGAGGTTGCATCCTCGATGTTGATAGTCTCTTCGTTCTTTTCAAAGGGCCCTTAGTAACCTTGGATGACCTCCGTCTGGTCAGGTTAAGTTCGTAGGTAAGGTAAGGTGCAGTAGATCTGGCGTGGGACATGGGGGTGGGGGGAAGGGGGGGAGCTTAGAACTGCGAGAAAGGTGTGTACAATACCTCGTGTCAGGAATAACAAGAACAAAAGAGCCCCCCCCCATTGAGTTTTGAAAGCAAAAACAAGTGGCAAAAGATAGTAGCATCGTGGCAGAATCGGCGAGCTCGTCCATCTTGCCAGTTCCCGTGATCCCCCCTCCCCGGACCAGCACCGCCGAGAATGAAGCCGGCGGAGGAAGCGGACGGGTGGGCGGGGACCTACCAGATTGCAGTATGTGGACGCTTTCGGCCGGGTCGCGACTAGGTTCCGGTGATGGAGAACCGGGGAGGGGTGGCAGATTGGTGGAGGGAATCCCACTCGTGACCATCAACGCAAGCTTCGAAGTAGGTAGTTGGGCAAGTTTCGGAAATCGTTCGTTATGCAGGCCTTTCTTCTCGGCTTACAGACAGCAGGTCAACCGCTTGATGGTCCATCAGAATGCTCCTCTCGAAAGCTACTCCTCGCTACATTGTCGTGCCCTGGGAAGGACATTCAGCTGAGGTAGCCTCGGTTCAGTATCCAAGGGCGGGATGAAGCGAGACGAGACGAGACGTCCAGAGTTACATGAGGCAAAACTCCATGTTACCCATCACAAATATAATTGTTGGAATGAACACCTCGGTTAAAGAAAAACAAAAAAAACAGAAGAGTGAGTGACGTGGTGGCCTCACTGTCACACTCCCCGCTCTTTCACCAACCGAGTTCTACCTGCAGTCATCGCTTCTTCTTCCGTCTCGGGATATTTTCTTTTTGCCCGTGTTGAAACCACCCCTCCTCTCCCCCTCCTGTCTTCTTCTGTACGGTAGTAGTCCGACCTTTGTGAGATCTCAGATCCCACGAGGCCCATTTGCAGGTTGCGATAGCGGCCCAATTCCAATCTAACAGGACTCGACTCGGCTTGGGTTCGCATGTTATACTGGTTCATTGCACACATTTCGAGGCACGTCATGTCTTGGAAGATTGAAAGTGGTATTTGTATGTACTAAAAAAACCCTCATGGTCTGGCAGGTTCTTTCCTCGGGCTATGCAAAACACTCAAAGACGGAAACACTTAAAACACATTGAGATACGTTTTGACGTTTGGGAGGGGGGTATTTTGATCCGAGAAACAATAGATAAATTCCAAGAACAGAAAACCCTGACCTAATCCTGGGAAATCACTCAAGATAAGAGGAAACGGAGAGAGAGAGGGAGCTGCAGTAAAAGACAGAAAGGTCCCTTTTGTATGCCATTTGGGATGAGTTGGAAAAAAGTAATATGTGCATAGAGCAGAAGAGAAGTAAAAGACAGAAAATGTGAGCTTTCGTCATCATACAAGAAACCCAAGAAGTTAAAAAAAACCAGTATAAAACCAAACAGGCCAAAAAAGACAACAAACGCAGAGAGAGTCATGTCGTTGGAGCAGCGCGCTCGCCCTCCTTATTCTAAGAACAGTTGAAATTTCAGTTTTTCCGACCCAAAAAGCCAAAGCAATGTTTCCGGTTTCCACCCCCCCTTTCTCTTCCTCCCTTCCTTTGCCTTGGGGTATCTTTGGGGGTGACCAACTTCCCAAGTATGGTCCATATGAGCTTTGTGGTTTTCTTTGTTTTTTTTTCTTCTCTTTATGCTGTGCTCCCGTATGCCTGCGGTCCGGGTGCGGGTCCAGGCCCGGCCGGCGCTCCGCTTGAGAAGCTTCTCTTCCTCTTCAGAGCACCGAAATCGTGTCCATAGTCGTCTCCTCCTCGCTGTTGTTGTTCTTGGTGCTGTGCGTACTCGCTATTGTGGGTGCCGTGAGGGGCGGCGTGGTGCTGAGGCGGCATCGGGCCGCCGCCGCCAAAGGTATCGCGCATGGGCGTCCTCGAGCTGGAGGTGTTCATGCTGGCATGGAAGGCGAAGTCGTTGGGGGCCGAGATGGGAGCGCTCATCTGCGGCATCGAGTAGTCCTGGACGCCACCGGGTCGGGCACCGGGGGTGCGAGGCATGTTGAAGTCGACGGGCGCGGTGAGGGGAGCGGAGGGGAAGCTGGAGGTGTAGGCAGAGGTGGAGGCAAACTGGGCCGAGGTGGCGCGAGGTGCCGGGGAGTGGCCCGGGGGCGGGACTGAGCCGACGGAGCGGTACTGGTTGCGGAGGTCGAGGCCGAGGGTGCCTGATGAGGCGCGGGCGCGGAGGCGGTTTGGTGGGCCACCAGGGAAGCTTGAGTAGTTCATGCCAGGAGGTGAGTTGTTGCCTGCAATTCAGGTTAGTGATACGAGTTTCCCAAGAGGAGAAATGGTGAAACATACTGGAATAAGAGCTTGACTCGTAGTGGAGGCCGCTGCTTGAGGGGCCGTTCATCTGCTCCGGCTGGTAGACCGACTGCTGTCTTCCACTCAGCTGAGGGCTTCCGCCGGCTCCGTGGTTGTATGTGCTGTAGTCGATCGCGTCGCCCTTCCAGGACATGCTGGAACGGAGAGGAGAGTTGAGATCCGACCTTGACCGGTTCATGGTCTCGCGGAGTTGAAGAGGCTGGAGAGGTCGGCTCGGCTGGCCGCGGTGCATGGACATGGAATTCTCGAGGGCGCCCTGTCGCGCAAAGGGGTTTGAGGTTCGGGGGCCAGGGCCCATGGGCGACAGGTGGCTACCGTATCCGTAGCGGTGGTCGCCCGTCGAGTTGGGTGTCATGGGAGACAGGATGTCTGGGCTGCTCATGGTTCCCGGGGGAGTGAATCCGATGCTTCCAAATCCAGGGCTCAGTCCCGTGGACGACATGTGCTCCTCGCCACCCTCGGCCCTTCGGACGTCGACCATCAATGGACGAATCATGTGGTCGGCGTAAGACTGTGTTCCAAAGTTCATGGGGGATGACATGGGAGTGTTGAGACCGTGGACCGCGCCGTAGGGGGAGTGAAGAGCCTGGACATTGTCAAAGTCGTCGGGCACCGCACGCATCTTGATCATACGGTCACGGTCATCGGCTGTAAGACGCTTAATCTTTGCACGGCTGTTTGAGGAACAGGATTAGTTTCAATGTCTCTATATGGCCGTTGGGTTGCGAGCAGACTTACCGGTTCTGGAACCAGACTTGTACTTGACGGGGACTCAGGCCGGGGATCTCCCTCGATAGACGTTCTCTGTGGGCTGCATCAGGGTGAGGCTGCTTGGCGAATTCACTCATGAGGAATCTCGTCTGTTGGTGTGTGAGACTGTAGTCGTTGTCAGTACGCCGTCCCCTCTAGCAATGCTGTGTTTTGCTTCAACTTACCGGAATCGCTTCATCTTCCTCCGAGCTGCTGTCCGCTCTGCGGCCGTCTGTGGGGTTCCATCGCCGTCGTCGAGCATATCATCATCGTCAAGCACGTCGTCGTCCTCATCTTTGCTCAAGCTGCCTTCGTCATTGTCCATCTGAGATGCAGACACATCGGCATTCAGCTCTGTTGACGAAGGCGGGTTTGAGATCATTGTCTGACCCTGCATATCTGTCGACGCCGTAGGTTCCTGAGATACCGGCTCTGCGGTCTTCTCCAAGGACTGCGATTCCTGTCGCTGTTGTTGCTGCTGCTGTCTGTCCTCGGGCTCGTCTTCCGGAGTGGGCTGCTTCACTTGACGAAGTCCCAGAGGGTCTGCTGCTCCACGGTTGTCCAGACCGGGCTCTTGCTTCGTCTGGATCTCTACTTGTGCAGGGGCGCCGGTTGCAGTGCGAGGTTGCGACGCATCCGAAGTCTCATTGCCAGCTCCGTACGCCTGAGAGAAGACGTTGTTTTCCGGCCCTGGGAGGTAAGAGTACTGCTGCCCTTGCCACTCGGGAGGCGTGGGCAACGGAGCTTCGAACTGGTTCGACATGCGTGGAGGAGTGGTAGGGGCCTTGTGGAGAGGAGTCTCAAATTTGCTGTATGACCAGTGGCTCTGCTCGGTGGTATCAAACTGCCTGGTAACAAGCATTGGGACAGGTGTGGTGGTTTCGGTTTGTGAGTTGGTTGTCTTGTTTCGAGCTGGGTACAAGGACGGTCTGGGTCTCTCTGGAGAGAATGTCCTGAGATGAGGTTGAATCTAGGACAGATGGGTAAGGAGTGTTTGGAGAAATTGTGTTGGAAGCTATCGATGTTTGTCGAGATCTAGATGAGCTAGAGGTGTACGACAAAAGCAACCGATAGTGGTAATATAACAGCACTCTAGGTTGATGATTCAAGGTAAGGTTGATGTCGTTGGGTCCGTCCCGAGACAGTTCTTAACAAGTTAATCAAAAGAGAGGGTGTAAGAGTGAGAGTGATATATATAGATAGAGAGAGGATGATGCGTTGATGCGTCAAGTCGTTTTGGGGAGAGGAAGAGAAGATGATGAAAAAGGGAAAGAGGACTTGGCTACCCCAGGTCCCACGAGGTAGGATCGATCATATATTGTATAAATTTGAGGGTGTGCCAACTGGTAGTATGGCGGGGTCGATCGACTGGGAGGCGTTCCTGGGCCTGGAACTGACAGGCCCCGTTGTGTATGGCAAGTCTGAAGGATACCCGTGGTTGTAATAAGGCGGTCTTGTAAGGAAGCCCTTGCTCCTTAGTTTGACAGAGGTGGAATTAATACCGAAGGGTACGGCCATCCACACGGAGAAATGTCGAGCTGGATCCGGACAGGAGGACTTGGGACTCGAGCCGGGGCCAGCACGGGCAGCCAGCAGCGGCCATGATGGGGGGAGGAGTAACGGCTGGTTCAACGACGAGGGTTCAAGGGTACTCGGTACCTGACTGGTGGTGTCGAGGAGGACGAGGATGACTGGGGTGAAGAGGGTACTCAGGTACCGTAGCAGTGGAGAATGAGATGGTTGAAAAGGGACCCGATGCATGGTTTAAGGCTCGCCGACTCGAGAGAGAAAAGCCGCAGCAGCAGTGTCCGTAGTAGGGAAGCAGAAAGCAGAAGCACAAGCACAAGCAGCAGCTCATGCCATGCCATGCCAGGCGGGTACGGATAGGCATGCCATGGCATCGAGCTTTGCCCGCCGCCGTCGCCGCCGCCAGGCCCCCGGCCCCCGGCTTGGACGTGGGTGTGTGTATTTGGGATGTGGATGTGGATGTAGATTTGTCCATGTGGATATGGACAGACGGGGAGGGAAGGGGACTGCAGGGCAGGGGATGGATTTGTAGGGTAGAGAAAGGCAGGGGGAGGGGGTGGGTAAGGTGGTCTGGGAGAGCAGCAGCAGCAGCAGCAGCAGCAGCAGTTCCTGGCATCAACAAGTCAGTCGGGGGACGCGAACGTGGGTGGGCAGCTAATACTAGCTGTTGCTCTTGTCGCGAGATGCTGTTATTGCTCAATGCTGCTGCTGCTCTGCTGAGCCACATGCATCTGTGCGTGTAAATGTTGTATGTATGGGTGTGGGTATTTCCGTCCATCACGTCCAGTCTTCTCAAGCACCACCAACTACGGTACCCTCCTGTTCCTCCTCCACCCTGTGTGTTCGAGGAAAGACCTGGGCTGAGCCTGGGGGATCGCTCAAAGCGAGGTGACAGATGGACCGGACGATGGTAGCAGCTATATCACCACAGCCCATGGCCTTAAGATTTTCGGCTGAATGGCTAATGCCGTGCTGCCATTGAATGTCCTGGAACCCATAACCTGCCCAACACCATTCCATCATTCCCAGCCCAGCACGGCATAGCGCGAGCGAGAGAAAGAGAGAGAGAGAGAGAGAGAGAGAGAGAGAGAGAGAGAGTGCGTGTGTGTGCGTGTGTGTGCACGTGTGAGAGATCTGACCCTTGGTCTGTGTTGGTATGTAAGAAAAAAGACATCCCAGATTGAGATGACAGATTTCTTGCAGCGGCGTGCCAGCTGAGCAGACTTGAGCAAGCCCATGGTGAAACGGGGTCACCTTGTCTGCGAAGGCCTGAATAGGCAGGCTGATGTTGACACCTGAATCAGTACAGAACCAGGTGGGCGGTTTTGGAGCAATGGAGAGGAGGAATGAGACAGGGTTGGACGGGGGGGGGCTCTCCCTTTTCCCGCCTGTTCCCTCTTGCAATTTTGCCCTTGGAGCGGCCGCAGAGAGATCAAAAAAAGAACCTGAACCCAGAGCTGGGTTCAAGAGAAAAGCTCAGGTACCAGACAGGCACAAGCGCAGGCACAGGCACAGGCACAGAAAGGCGCGGCCGAAGGTTGTCTGCTTGGCCCCGAAATAAATGATACTATGGATCTCGCATCGAGGCGAAGGGGGATCACAAACCACCTCAAGGTTCCCTGTGTAGTGTGTACTTACAAGTTACGGATACACACGATATTGCACAGGGACAGATGGTAACCAGAAAGCCACTCCTCCGAGGCTCCGACATCATACATGCCGCCCGAGCAAGCCCTTGACACGTTACTTACGCAAGACGGCAGAGAGAAGAATCGAAAAGACGGCTCGGGAAAAGGAAGAAAAAAGAAATCAAGGAGCGAAAGAGGCATCTCGGCTGGGATATCTGGATGACGCTCATTGGATCCTCTGTGACATTAGCTCTGTGTCGACTCCACGGATGAACGCATGACCGTTGTCGAGAAGCCCGGCCGAGG